AATGCCATTGTTATGTTTAGGTGAACATCACACTCTTATATTCCCCTCTATCTGGCCTTGAATAAAAATCAGAGCAACAATAATATAAATAATATGAAAGTAGTCATGAACAGTAGCCCATCTGTACTGGACAGAATTCTACAAATCAATTAGATGGTCATAAAAAGCTAAACAGATGTGGATGAATCAACTGCGGAAATAAAATGGATTGAACTCTTACATTTATTGTTCATGTATAACCCTTTTTAATACCCAAGATGGGTAAATTACACTAATTAACCTTTAAAAATCTAGATGATTTCTAAATAATAGCTTCAAACAATGCCTATTCTTTTCATTGTTACTTCCAAGTGTTTTGCCCATGACAAGGCAGTTTCACTAGAAGATCTACAGGGGTAGTTGTTTAAATGCAGGGGTTTTTTTTCCTTTTTTCTCAATCATTAGACTTTCTACAGCCCATACGCCCACCTCTTCCCCATCAGGCAGTGCCTGAGGTCAGAAGAAATCAAATCCATACACTAAGGAAATAATGACAAGAAAACTCATCACTTGCAGTGACTCCCAACCCAAGTGGTCTCCTTTTGGATGGGATACGTTATCCACCAGGACAGTTGGATATCCTATTCCTAGCTATAGGAGCATGTAATCTGGGCTTAGGGCAATGCTGGCAGCAAAGGCAATATGTAGCCCAGTGCTTTCAGAAAGGTTGTCTGGATCCTCAGCAACCCACAGGGCTGGTGATAGTTTTCATCTACTTTCTGCCATGCTTTGATGTAGCAAGCAGTTGTGAGAAGATTATACAGGTTCATGTTACAGCACAGCTGAAATCAGAGCAGAGAGATTCCTGTGGCTACAGAAGCCTGAAGTACCCAGCAAGTCTTCAACAGGGTTAGGGGAAACCCTTGCTTTTATGGGGAAAGGGAAAAGATCTCTCTAAGGAAGTCTTGCTGGAGACTTTTTTTCTTTGAAGTTGCCTCTCCATGTCTTATTCAAGAGAGGATGGTTCAGTATCTCTTACTGTAAGAAATGTTTTGTTCTCACTGGTACAAATTATTTGTAAACATCAATAATTTTTTTTTCCTCCAGTATTTTGACTACTTCTCCTTCAAATAATATCTCTTTGGCATTCTAGGTTAAAATTTCTCAGTGGTATTGTAAGGCCATAAGTTATCTCTTTTGTTTTAATTAAGATGTGTTTAAAAAAAAAAAAATCAAAACAACAGCACTGATCACAATACATTGGATGGAATGGTGAATGGTTTGAGTTTCCTAAATTACTGACATTACCTGCTGATATGAGGGCTGTTCAAAAGGGCACTTCACTTTTGGGTTTATTTATTAAAATCCTGCACTCAACTGTAAGAAATTAGCCTCCTAGAGATGAATCGCTCCCTACTTAGGGGAGCCTGAAGCAAAGAAACCAATCACACACACACCGCAGTAACACAAGCTCCACTGTTTTAATACATCTCTCATGTAAGGGGCAATGTGAAGCATTCCTAAGGGGGACAAATGTTCTCAGCTTAAAAGTGATGCTCTTAGACAGCTTCCTCAATTAATGCCAAATTTACAGTGCCGTAAGATTACCATTTTATCTTGTAGCTGGAAGCCCTTAACTGAGGTGAAGTGTGACACAGGCTGTTGGACTCTTGCAAAACCTGGAAAGATCTCTAGATCAGCTTTCAGGTAAGCATAATTAAGGAGACAGAATGTCTTATTTTATCTGTGAAATTTTATGTATTGAAACTGGGATACAATTCTGTCTTGACATCTTGCAGCAGAAATTAAGCCATCCTTTCAGTTCTTGCCTGGCTATGGAGATTTTAAGCCTTTCTTTCAAAGCATGCACCTTGAAAACATCAGGGCAGGAGAGAATGCTTTGCAATCTCTCCTCAGCAGGACATAGCGTAGCCATCCTCTTTTCCTGCCAGTTTATAGCAGAATAAGCTTGTGGGTGTTGGTAACATGGAATAGCTGTACACTAGAACAATGGTGAACCTGTTCTGGTTAAGTTAATTCAGCGGTGTCATTCCTAATTCCCTCCAGTTTTACTATATATAGATTGGACATGTGTGGGAAAGGTTCATAGAATTTCATCTGAAGCTTGTGATACATCATCTTGCAGTGGGTTGTAGTTATGGTCAGTGGAAGAGCTCCTCAACAGAGAAACCTTCTATACAAAATGCTTCTGTTCATTTTTCTCTGTTCAATATATTCTCCTCTGGAGTGAACTTTCACATCTAAACCACTCCTTTGTCCATTACAGATTCAAACCTGGCCTTTAGGCCTGTGAGAAATGGCAGCCACAGCAGTGCTTCTCCTTACACAGGCTTCTAGATGCCAGGAGCAGCTCAAGAGAAAAACATTGCAGGAAGGAAGGTATCCCCAGTGGTACACTGTACTGCTAACTCTATCTGGAAGTGAGGAAGGAAAGGAGATTGTTTAACAAAGATAAAAAGTTCTCTTTTTAAGAGCACCTTGGTGTGTCCTTTTGAAGGAAAAGGAGTGTAGATCCACCCAACATTAGTAAAAACATCTTGGGCAAGGTGTTAAGACATGCCTACAAGATAGTGAATACTTCCTCTGCTTTTGCTTCATTTGTGGTTACCTCTCAGACTTCAGCTACTGCAGCCCCACCTGCAGCAAGCACTGTAGTGTTTCCTGCAGAGGAAAAAGCATGCAATTGGTAGTTCTGGACCACGGATAGTGTAAGACGTCTATCCTGCAACCTCTTTATTTTGGGGGTGTGGTGGATTAGGTAGCTCATCTCTTCCTGCACAAACAGTCCTTAGTGGTGGATAGCTGTACAGGGTAAAGCTGAAAAAGACAAAAGGAAGCAAGGATAAACTGGGAAGACCAGTAGCATTGAACACTGGAGTAATGTCCTGCTCTCTCATCCCTCTATGTGTAAGTCGTTCCGCAGAGGAAGGGAAACCTCCAACAGCTTGGCAGCCCTCTGGAATCTGCAACTATTTTTAACATGCAGCTCACAGCAGAGACTATCTTTCCAATGAGTTTTTATAGGACAGGCACATTGGCATTAATTGTACAAAAAACTAACAACTTGAAACCAAAGAATGGCAAAGGTCTAATAAAAAAGCAAGATGACTACCTTGACGTTTTTCAAGTTTATCTGTAGCATTTATTTGATAAAGAATATAGGGCTAATAAATTACCAGAGTACTTCTGCTGTTGTCTCCTTAGCTATTGTCTTGCTACAGCACATCTTCATTATGCTTTCAACCCTTAACTGTTATGTTGCTGCCATCTTAAGAAAGAAAATTCCATGGCATGAGATCTTTCAAGTAGCAGGCAACTCATTACCGAAAAAGCCGCTCTGAAACTGCTAATGCAGTCTTTTTGTACCCAGAGTCCCTTGAGGAAAGCAGCAGTGTTTGCCACTTCCTCTGAGAACTGACCCCAGCTAAGGAATGAAGAATGTTTTTTGTCTGTGTGTGTATGTGTCTATATATGCACATTTGTTCTAATGTAAACTAACAACAAGTAATTTATTAAACAAATCTTTCAGACCTAGGTATCTGCCACAGGTTTATCTCTTCTAGGGCTTCATTCCAGAACTTTCCAGAGAAAACTGCACAGTACAAATGCAGTAGACCTAGCCAGCATGTCCTACCAGTATTTGAATTACAACGCACATGAGTAGAAGCTACTGCTTTATAAAAGTCAAAACCCTGTGGTCATTTTTCCTGTCCCTAGTTGTAACAGCCACCTCATACTACTGTGTGCAGTGTGTGGTGCTAGGTATGATTATACCCACATTGTACTCTTTTGACCTACGGCTCTTGGCACACAATACCAAAAAAAACCTGTTTTGTAGACAGCAAGTAAAGCTCATCTACTTGAGGTGGAAGTTGCAGCTCACTGTGCATATTCATAATATGAACTGTTAGGATTTTCAACAATGACAACACTTTGTGTAACAAGAGTAGTCTTTGTAGGATACTGTACTGACATGTGGCATAAAATGAGTAATGGTCCTACATGGAGGTATGCCACAGCCTTCAACTGCAAAAGTACCTCCTTTGTAGCCATTGTTGTATCTGAGGCACTCATACTGCTTTGGTTAATCTCTTCCTGGTTGTACACTAAGCATCTGAACAGGTAACTATCATACTCTCTTCTTTCCTGGAGCTAGGACCAGAGCTCAAGCAGCTTTGTTCCCACCTCTGCTGATTCACCTTCAGAGAAGCATTAGGTGCAGTTGCTACAACAAACATAGTCTGGATAAGAACACAGAACCACAGAAAGTCCCTACTGCACTTCAAAGTGAAAGAGCTCTGTCTGTAACACCTGTCACAGAGACTGATACAAGGGCCAGTGACAGTATGGCCATTTTTAGTAGAGCAGGTAACACAAAAGACTTGCTCCATAACAGCTACTTCTCACCTAAACCAGAAAAAAGAGAGACAGCAAATAAACTACAAAACTGGTATAAATAGAAAATGGTTTATTTAAAAAAAAAAAAACAACCAACCAACAAGAAACCAACCCCAAAAACATAAAATCACACTTCAGTATGTAGCAAAAGGTCTGACTAACTTAAACTACACACCCATCATCCACACTTCAGAAGTTATAAACTTCAGAAGTCATTTAAGTATGTATATGGAAGGAAGGGAAGCTGGTGCCTGCTGGCATGCTCCTCAAAACCTCCCTGGACCTCCACTGGGCTGTTCTTTACAATTTACTAACTTTGTTAGCAAGGTATGAAGTTTGAATTCCTACAGGACACTAATGAAATGAAGAACAGGTCACAGATATAGGATTTCCATAACCAGCTTTCAAACAAAAATGCAATTTGCATTTCCAACAGCTGTGAAAATAGTGACATAGATGGGAAAAAATGCAGGTAAGCATGTGTACTGCAAGTGTTTTTGTTATTTTCTTCCTAAGACAGTTCACTTATAAGGAAGTATTTATTTCACAAGTCTATGCAAACTACTTACACAAAAAGTATTCAAAAGATAGCCCTTTTGAATACTCCATCATCAAGAATTAGATGTGAAATACAGTTTTTGTCTGCAGGTTGACTTTCCACATACAAACAATGCTGCAATCCTCCTTTACAACAGAAGGGAATGGATTATTAGAATGCTATTCCTAAAACATTCTTCATTTTAAAGTAACTCTTTCATTAATAAGACTGTTATTAAATAATGACTTCTGAAAGAAATCTTTCAAGATCACCCGAAAGAAGCTTCTATGCATGCTTTGTTCCCACTGCTAAAGTCACCCCCAATGAACACTACTCAGATGTATGGTTTAGGTTATGTATGAAGCACGATGAGGGTTCTCAAAAGACTTTTCTTTTTTTATTGGAGAAGCCGTTCAGCCTCCTTGGACTTGCATTCTTTTGTTTTCCTCAGTAATGCCTGTTTTATAGCATTGATCTTTTCATCCAGTTCAGCCAATGAATAGTTCTGCTAAAAGAACAAAATAAAAACCACAGTCATTTACATCTGGTAATTGCCAGAGAAGTGGCCTAGCACTTGATATTTGAGGTTACTGCATATTGCACTAAATGATAGAAATACTTTTGCAGAATTTTCTGAATCTAGTCTATGGCTGTTTAAACTGGAAAGAAAAAGAATGTAAACTTAGAAGAAAGTGACAGTTCTAATCACGGATCAATATACCCATGCTATTTCCATTAGATGCTTATTTAACCTGTTCATATTAAAAAAAATCCTTTAATGTTAAAACCCTGGATGAGACTATCTAGATCTTGCAGAACTTGCCTTTACAACTGAAGGGGGTTTTTCCCCCTATTGCCCAACATCAATCTCCTCTGTGCTCACTTAACCTGACAATTTTTTTTGTCTTTTCTTGCACAAAGAACCAGTCATCATCCTTTTTATAAAATTATTTCACCCTACGAAGGACTTTTTTCTAGTGTAGACAACCCTACTTCCTCCAGCCTCAGATGGCCCACAGTCCACCCTAAGCATTCTCCCTAGTCCATCGGTCTCCAAGAGTGATAACAGCAGATGGTGTTCTAGCTCCAGTCTCACGTGCCCCGAGAAGAAGTTCTCCTTCAGCCTAAGGTACATGGTTAATGCATTCCCTTATGTGATCATGTCAAAATGGCAAGTGTTACTGACTTAGGCAAATATCTGCTATAATGTCAGGTCATTCTGAAATGCTTTTGCCAATCCCGCCATTTTTACTTTTATTGTCTCTTCATAAACCAATAAAGTGAATTATAAAAAAAAACTTTAGTCATCAGAAAACACTGATCCATAAAACAAAAACAGAAGACATTACTAGGAGACTGATCTGAATTCGCAAATTGTCACTGCTAGCTTGATTAACATTGTTACAGATTTATTTAATTCTATCACTCATCTAAATGGTAAAAACACTAACTAATCTACCCTAGTACAGACTCTTAATTAAAAGATTAATTGCATTGTGACACCCATTAACTTTCTGTCTCCTTTGCTCTCTTTGCCAGCAAGCTATCCAATACTGATGCAGCTATTTCTGAGAAGTTTGATATTCGCTTGGTAGAATTTCTGATTACTTTTCACTCAGAACATCCTAAACTTAAGGTAAACAAAAGTTAACAGCACTTACATAGGGAGCTTGGACCTTCCTCCTCTTGCCAGAACAGCTCTGAAGAAAAGACATAATCAAAACAGACTTAATGTTGCACTGACAGAGGACCACAAGTAATTCTGTAACAACACTGACAAGAGCCTTTAAAGTACAGAAAGAACATTGACTGCCATCCCACGGACAAAGAAATCTTTTTTATAATTAAATACTTTGGATAACAAGAAACACTACTGGAAAGCAGTCAGAAATTGTTGAAGCTTCTCCACACTTGCCAGCCAACAACTATCAACTTAACTGAAGCTTCCTTCAGACAAAATAAAGATCAATATGCAGCTTTTGAAACTGTCAATATTTTTCCCTGAAATTTTCCTGTATCCACACCAATATTTATGCAAATTTTTTTTTTTTTTTAAAAAAAGCTCTAATTACTGTACAACATTACTACTGCCACCATCATAAATTCTTCCTAGATTCCCATTCTAGAGAAGATCCTGAAGCACTAGTTGTGGAAATTTCAGCATATGAAAATATGTTTGAACTTCTGGTTTCCAATAACTTGAAGGAACAGCCTCATAAACAAAAGACTTTACTGGTCTCCAACACAAACAAAGAAAAGAAAAAAAATTGATAATACTTATTTTTAATTAGGGACTCTTTTTCAGCTGGTCTGAAGGGAGAAGATATAAATTAAAACCTGATCAGCAGTAGAGGAGACATTCTCACTATTACATGAGGGAAGAAGAAGATAACAGACAAGAAATTTCTATAGCCAAGTAGATCCTGACCTAGCAACAACTAAAGTTCTTCTTGTTCTGATCTCCTTTGGTGAATTAAGGATAAAATTTACTCTTCAAAAACAGACAGAACTCCACCTGAAGACTAGCAGCAAAGAAATCAAAGTCATAGAATTACAAAGCAATTTTTAAAGGGTTTACTCCCTCATCCTATGGGAAATTATTTCACATAGCTGATCATTAGAAATCACATCATGTACAGAAGGCCAAAGGATTTCAGTTAATATAAGCCATTAATGATTTCTATCAAGATCAAAACTTCACTCCATTTTCTTAAGAAATACTGCAGCTTTTAAGCTGGAAGGGGAGAAATCCAACCTCTATAATACATTTCTTACAAATTAGTTAAGCTCAGATCGTTGCAATTTTTTTCCTAAGATTTTCTTTGAAATGACAAATTAGGCAGAAATATGAATTTACATAGATAGTCCATGTGAAATACACCCATTACACCAAGCCAGAGTTGTCTATCACAAGTGTATGCCCTCAGACTCCTTAGGTTTTTGTCTGCACATAAAGATTTAAGCACAAAAGTTCCAAATGTATTTAGGTATGCTAAAAGAATTTGAGAATTTCTTACTACAGATTGAAAATATTCAGGAGACAGTCCTTCCAGCTCAAGGATTTTATCTTCAAGCTTCTTAATTCTCTGGTAAATGTCTCTTGGTACAGGACCACCTAAAGACACCAATACAAATACAAACAAATCAGGAAAAGTGCTTGAATGACTTTTTAAACTAAAGGCTATAAGTTTTACTGGTGAATTATTCGAGTCTAGCTATCACTCAGTAGCTGAAACAAAATGAGTGGCTGGGATAATAGAAAGGAAGGGCTAATTAATACAATTCAGATCAATCAAACCTGATTGATAAAGCTGTGAGTGGAGGCAACAGACAACTTTATGCAGGTGGTTGAAATATGTCCAATAGTGTCCCTAGAAAACTAATGATCACTCTTACAATACAATGGTCACACCCCAAATGTTACCACTTCAAAAGTGGGAGCCACATCAAGAGGGAGCGGATGGGATGGCAGACCACACGGACCCAGCGCTGATACCTAAGACTGTTCTGAAGGAAACCTATCTCCACTGAGTGTCAGAGGCTGGAGGACAGGTATGAGCTGTGCTTGTCAAAGAACTGTGTCTTCCTGGCCGTAGACAGGAGAAGCAGGGTTAAGGAATGTGTGTGGAATGGAATAATAGACCTCTGGAAAAAAACAACCAAGCAAAAACACCCCTCTGCCTAGCCCATGCAAACAAACAAAAAAAAATCCCACAAACACCACAAACCAACAGCAACAAAAAACCCCACTTCAACCCGTTTGTTGTTTGTAGCCTATACTAGAGCAGCTTGGACTTGCTTCCTCACGGAAGAACTGAACTTAGCAAGAGATCAGACTTAGAAAGCATCTTATTTACACTACATAGTATTCTATAAACCAAAATCACTGTTTATCACATCTAATACTGGCTATCCCAGTAAACCAGTCTGGTTCTGACAGTATTGACAAGCAAAGCTTTAGCAAGCTTCTACTTCTTCTCTTGCCATCTGTTTCCATTAATTTCCAGGTCTGTTAGGTAGGACAATTCTATTCCACAAACTACTGAAATAAGCACTAATGGATTTTTTGCCATTCATCTATTTCGTCACTTCAGGCAGACAATTTTGCAGGTAGCTTCCCTCCTTCAGTTCTGCTCTCTACTCATCACTCAGCAGCTACTAATTAAATCAGCTAACCTCTCACTCTTCTTAATATTGCTGTCTCTTCATGTAAAGGGAAAAGAGCAGTGCTAGCACTAGACGAAAACGCTCTGAAAAACAGCAGGTGAGTCAAGAATAACTCTTTCAGTCACTGCAAACAAAAACAGGCAAGCAGGTAGATGAGGGAGGTGACCTGCTCAGATGAACACTTTTTGCACAGCTGCTGGGGTAAGAAACAAACGATCTTGAGACTTTCCCTAGGAATGCTGATTTGGACAGGAGCTGAGCTTCAAATGCACACTTTCATCCTCCTCCCCTACACTTGGTTTAGCTGACCTGTACTTTCACACAAAATTATGTCACCTATTATAGGCACAACCTGGAAGCAAGCACCTCTCCTTAGCTACCCCCAGTCATCACCCTGATAGGCATAAACATACACATTGTAACTTTAATGCTGGCCAGACACTCGGAAATTCTTATTTCCATGCACAAAAACCACCTTATTTTTGAGACAGCTATACAGCTAAGTGTTAATCTCTGACTGCTGCCTCACCAGTATTGAGGACTATTATACTCTCCTTGCAGCTAGAGGACTTTGATCGAGTATGCATTCACAGAAATCTAGTAGCCAATGCTCACCATGTTCTTAGGAGAATGCATTGGCATCTATTCAGCATTCAGAAGACAAAAAAAGTCAATGAGTCGGTCAGTGTGATGTGTAGAACATTCCCTTTATTAGGCGAAGATCTGGGCTTCTGTTCTGAAAACTTTTTTCAAGAAAAATACCAGTTCCTCCCTGATTAAGTGCCTCAATGATTTCTATATTCTAGAAAACTGGGGCTCAGGTGAGGAAAGCAAGTACTTTAAAAAATCAGCAGCCTGGTGGCTATGGCATTTATTTAGTGAAAGGTAAGGACTCATGTTTGCATGGCAACAGGAAGTATTAACCATGAGCTTTCCAAACGCTGGGAAATAAGCTTCTTAGCTAACTGTAGTTCAAGAATCATCCACCTTTAGGAAAAGGTTTCAGGTTCCCCCTATCACCAGCCCACAAGGTGTCCATGAAGAAGGACTGAGTGCTACTCTCAGCTTTTCCTGTTCAGTGGGTGAAGGCAGAAGGTCTCCACTGGTACGGAGAATTCCTATCTCCAAATATTCCAGACTTTTAAATCCCATTCTGAAGTGCCTCCCTCTTGTTTGTGACTACATCAAGCACAGATTTACTAACTCAGCATTGTAATTTGGGCATAAATCTGGGTTCCGCTTTGGATACAAGAATTTAAATATTAGATTGGAGTACTCAGGGTGACTAAACCTTTCAGTGGATCTATCCACTGTTTTTACAGTCATAGTTCTTTATAGACTTGCCCAGTTTTACCACAGTAATGACAACTGTACTACACACTGATCTTAAAACATGTTAAAACATGATACAAACCTGTTTGTAACCTTAAGTGTGCTTCAATGTTTTGCAATCTCTCCTCAACAGCTTGGTTTCCACAATCATGAATGGGTACAACTGCTTTGTGACTGGACCCATGTGACCCTTCAGATCTAGTCTGAGGTCCATATGTATTTACTACCCTAGAAACTAAGTAAAGAGAACACAGATTTAATATATATGCACGTGAAAAACAAAGTGTATCTAACCAAATATCTGTGGTTTCTAGATTCTCTTTAAATCACGATTATTTCTCAAGTTCTTCCTGATAGGAATACTGCAGTGCACTGAAGACTTCAAAGACTATGCTGGCAACTCCAGACACTGAAGCACACAGCTTCTTACTCAGTACTTCACGAA